GCCGGGTATTCCCCATGAACTATGTGTCCGTAGGCGTAGTGCGCGAGGTCGGTTGCGGAGTCTCGAGGGTTTTTGACGGAAGGAGTTCCCGGCATGGGTCGTCATGCATGCAGTCCATCCGTTGCATCGCGCCTCTGGCTAGGCCTTTCCATTCGTTGATAAGTACAGACAGCTCGCTTATAGAGAGTGGTCCTGCCACTCTAGAACAATCGCCGCGCTGCGTTGAGCATGGTGACGGCACATGCACATGCTCATACAACGGGGCGCTGTCATTGCCGAGCTGCCAGGATGCGCTTCCAACGAATCATTTCTCCTTACAATCCAAACATCCAAATATCATAACATAGAGACGATGTCCTTAACCCAGGGGGTGTTCGGCTAAATTCATTGCAACCAAGAGGATGGGCTTTAAATGTTCCGCTGCCCTTAAAAACGCGCAGCAGCAACCACTCATACGATGGCTCGGTGACTTGATCACGCACTGAAAAGTTATGGAGACTATAGACCGGTAGACGCACGTCTTTGTCTGCTCGTTATCTCTCCAGTACGGATACGCAGCCACGCACAGACACCCCGCTACCACACCAGCTTGCAAGCCCCCGCCTCCTCCGCAGTTTGGCAGCTCCAGAGGCGCCCGGCACAGGCGACCACCTCTTGCACGCGCCGCAGGGAAACACTAACCCACAAACGCTTACCCCTCGCCCCTACACGTCCCCCACCCGCCAACAGCCAACACACAGCGTATCCTCCGTGCACACCCACACTATCAAGGTACTAACCCCCGTCACCTCCTCATCCGCCTCGCCCCCCCTCTCCTCCCTCCCTCCCTCCCTCCCTCCCTCCCTCCCTTCCTCTTCAGGTCGCCCGCTGGCACTGGCGCTGGCCGAGTTGGGTCGGCAGTGGCGTTCGGAGGCGGCACAGCGCATGCCCGAGGTGAGGGGGCCCAGAGATTGAACCCAATGTGTAGAATAAACCCAAAGGGGGTTCAAAGACCAGCCCAAACCATTGGAGAAACACAAGTTGGGGTGAAACAATGGGGATTAGTAGGGGGACCTATTCTGCATTTGGCTGGATAATGGGATTAAAGCAAAGGGGATAGGAGGCGGCAGGGTGTGTTACTTAGTGTACTTACCACTCACATCCCCAAGCAACTACACCTCCGAACAAGCAACCTCACTTGGTGGTTTCCAGCCGCCCCTCAACAGCCCATGCCTCTTCAAATCACTGATTATCACAGTTGCCGTACATCCCATTCCTACCGTTGATACCGTTGATACCTGCCGTACACCTCATCATCCCAACCGCCAACAGGCTCGCGGCGACATCCGAGAGATCGTGGGTCAGCCGGTGTTCGTACCGCTCTTCAAGCTGTACCTCATGTACGGCAAGATCTTCCAACTGAGCTTCGGCCCCAAGCGCTTCGTGGTCATCTCAGATCCCGCCTACGCCAAGCAGATCCTGATGACTAATGCGGAGAAGTACAGCAAGGGGTTACTGAGCGAGATCCTGGATTTTGTGATGGGCCAGGGCCTCATTCCAGCGGACGGAGAGGTGTGGAGGGCGCGACGACGAGCGCTGGCGCCCGCCCTGCACCGCAAGTAAGTGGCGCATGGGGGGGGGGGCGGGGCGGTTGGTGACGCGTGCAATTGGTGTCTTGTGCAGGAAGTGTGGATCCGTCAATACCACCCCTGTTCACCTTTGCAATCCGCAACCGGCATGTACGGCAGCTCCATGCATGCGATGTCCGACCACCACCACCCCAACCACCACCGCCCCAACCACCAACACCCCAACCAGCAGGGTCAGTGGGCCACCGCCTCGTTTGGCACAGCCAATGTCTGCCTCATGCCCCTGAGGCCCAACCCAAGTAACCCCGACCCCTCCATATCACCACCCCGCCCCGTCCTCTTTACCCCGCCCCGACCCCACGTCAACTCGGTATCGGTCGGGACCGCTCACTGCATCACTTGTTTTTGTGGCATCCCGCCGCCCCCACTTGTGGTTTTCACTCGAACGGGCTGGTTTGTTTTTGACCCCGCCCCCACGCCACCACCACCCCAACCCGCCCCACCCCGCCCCACCTCGCCTCCCACCCCAGGTACGTTGCCTCCATGGTTGGCATGTTCGGCGCCTGCACGACCCATGGGACGGCCACGCTCGACCAGGTGGCGGCGGCGGGCGGCTCCATTGACATGGAGAACTACTTTTCCCGCCTGGCGCTCGACATCATTGGAAAGGCGGTGTTCAACTACGACTTTGATTCGCTGACGCATGACGACCCGGTCATCCAGGTGCGGGAGGGGGGTGGAGGTGAGGGTCGTGGGGCGACCCATGGGTCATGGCTCATGCATCCTCCGCGTATCACCGGCACAACTCCTCTCCCACTCATCCACCTACCACCTTGAACACCATCAACCTGAACCCCCCTCCTTTCCTCCTCTTTACCTCCTGCCCGCCCGGTCAACCCTAAGCGCATTTGCCCTCCTCCCCAATTGTTGCCCTTACCTGTGGTTTTGGTACATCTCTGACCCCCCCTCCCCCTCCCCTCCCCCTCCCCTCCCCCTCAGGCCGTCTACACGCTCCTCCGCGAGGCCGAGCACCGCTCCCTCACCCCGCTGCCCTACTGGGACCTGCCGGGCGCCGCGCTGCTGGTGCCCCGGCAGCGGGCATGCAGGCAGGCGCTGGGGGTGGTGAACGACACGCTGGACCAGCTGGTGGCCAAGTGCAAGAAGCTGGTGCGTGCGGGGTACGACAAAGGAAACACAGGAAGACATGTGTACGGTCTAGCATTGTTGTAGCACATGGGGATTGATGTAGCGGTATCACGGTATCATATGATACCGGTGCTGGTGGTGCATGAGGGCTTCACCTCCCTCTTGTGCTTGCGGTTTGGTCGCCGGCCCATGAGCCTCTGCCTCCTGACTCGCCCGGGCCCTTCTAATCTAAAAGCCTTCAGCTTCTACTATTATCGCTGTGTGACCCACGGGTCACTACCCCACCCCTTCCAGCCCCCTGCCCACTCCCTTCCTTACCCCCCTCTTTCCCCTCCCCCTTTCCCCTTCCCCCCCCAGGTTGAGGAGGAGGACGCGGAGTTCACCCCCGAGTTCCTGTCCGAGCAGGACCCCTCCATCCTGCACTTCCTGCTGGCCTCCGGTGACACCATCTCCAGCCAGCAGCTGCGGGACGACCTGATGACGCTGCTCATCGCGGGGCACGAGACCACCGCCGCCGTGCTGACGTGGACGCTGTACTGTCTGGCGGGGCACCCCGAGGTGGCGGCGGCGGTACGGCAGGAGGTGAGGGGTGGGGTGAGGGGTGGGGTGAGGGGTGGGGTGAGGGGTGGGGTGAGGGGTGGGGTGAGGGGTGGGGTGAGGGAGGTGAGGTGAGGGGTGGGGTGAGGGAGGTGAGGTGAGGGGTGGGGTGAGGGAGGTGAGGTGAGGGGTGGGGGACGGAGGGGGGTGAGGTGGGGGAGGTGATTCGGTGCTCCCTTCGCTTCGGTTAGTCTTGTCGGCTGCTTGGGTGGGCTGGTGGGTTTAGGGCATTTGGGACCGCCTCCTCTTGTTGTTATCGTCTTCCTTACCCTGACCACCCTCCGTTGCCTGACAACCCTCCCTCAACCCCTCTCCCTCACCCCCTCCCTCAGATCGACAGTGTGCTGGGCGACCGCACTCCCTCCCTGGAGGACTTCCGCGCCCTGCGCCTGACCACCCGCGTGGTGAATGAGGCCATGCGCCTCTACCCGCAGCCGCCCGTGCTCATCCGGAGGGCGCTGGAGGTGGGGCAGGGGCGGGGGGGGCAGGAAAGTGGGGGCGGAAGGAGGGAGGGGGGCAGGAGGGGGGCAGGAGGGGGGAACAGAGGGAGGGAGGGGGGAAGGAGAGGGGAACAGAGGCAGTGAGGGGGGAAGGAGGGGGGGAACAGAGGCAGGGAGGGGGACATAGGGAGAGAGGGGGCCAGCGGCTTGTGAAGGCGGTGTTCGAGCGGCCGAGGTTTGGACGTACGACACCGCTTGCTTAGGTGGCTGTACGTCATGCCTCGCAGCCCCGGTTTGGTACGCATCAGGCACGCAAAACATACAGGACCCTGCTATCCCCCCCCTAATCCCCCACCTTTTCCCTCGCCCCGGAACCTCCCTCCCCCCCTAAAACTTGAGATGCGTGTTCTTAGTGCCTCCGAATGCGCTCACTGCATGAGTCGGGATATGGGATTGGGATTCGTTGTTTCACCTCCCGTCCCTCCTCTCTCCCCCCCCCATGCAGGACGACACGTTCGACGGCTACACGGTACCCGCTGGCTCCGACATCTTCATCTCCGTGTGGAACCTGCACCGCAGTCCGCAGCTGTGGGACCAGCCGGACTGCTTCAAGCCGGAGAGGTGCGGGAGCACGCGGGCGGTCGGTGGTTTGGCGGCGGGTTAGGGGTTGGGGGAGGGAGGGATGGCAGCCCAACTGGTACCGTCAACCGCTGGTGGGTTTGTTTTCCCCCGCCTCTTCCCCTGACCTTACGAAGCTTCCCTTCTTCCTCCCCTCCCCCTCCCCCCTTGGTCCTTTCCTCATTACCCCTCTCCCTCCTGTTATTCCGGTGCGTCACTTCTCTTTATCTTCTCTCCCCTTCCTCCCCTCTCCCTCCTATCGGTATGGTCTTTGACCCCCATCTCCTTCCTCCCCCAGGTTCGGCCCTCTGGACGGCCCCATACCGAATGAGGTGACGGAAAACTTCCGCTACCTCCCCTTCGGCGGCGGGCGACGCAAGTGCTTGGGCGACCAGTTCGCGCTGTTCGAGGCGCTGGTGGCGCTGGGGGTGCTGCTGCGGCGGTACGAATTCAGCCTGGATCCCAGCAAGCCGCCCGTGGGCATGACAACGGGTGGGGCGGGGAGGGAGTGACCCATGGGTCAGGGAACGGGATTGGGCATGATGACAGCGGGTGGGGAAATGCCCCACCATTTTTGAGCTTGGAAGGAGTTTTTGGTACTCTGCGGCATGGAGCTTGGATCCCAGTATGACAGAGACTGAACGACCCATTTCCGCTCTCATTCTTCCTCCCTCTTTCAGGTGCCACCATCCACACCACCAGCGGCCTCAACATGCTCGTCAGGCGCCGCACTCCCCCACCGTCTCCCCAACAGCAGCAGCAAGAGGCGGTAGCCGCGGTTGCAGTTGCCCCCGCCTACGCCCTCGCTTTCAGCAGCGCCACAGCCGGCCCCAGCCCCGCGTCCATGGGACCTTACGGTGCCACCCCGGCCCCTAGCAGCGGCACCAGCGGCGGCACTGGCGGCTGCCCCTTTCACGCTGCGGCAGCAGCTGGACCTGTTGGCACGGGTCTGGGGCTGGGTAACGGAGGTGTTGGGGTGTGAGACAGCGCTGCTGCCGCTGCCGCTGCTGCTGCTGCTGCTGCTGCGGGTGAGCACCGGGCTAGCTGCCTGTTGCCGCTGTTATGAAGGCCTGAGGTGCCGAGACACGTTAACAGCTGTGAGCGGTCTGTGAGGAGGGCACTGTGAGGAGGGCACTGTGAGGAGGGCAGTGCGGGACATGCATTCAACAGGAAAGCGGCGGCGCTACCGGGACGGCGCTACCGGGAGGATGCCGCGGGGGTCCGCATCGTGCGGGTCGTCGCGAGGCGGTTGGGAGGCTGTTAATGGTGGCAGGCGTGCCTTTCGTAACGTCCATGTCGCGGCCACGGTGATTGAGGTACAGGCCGCGGGACATGTTGTGAAGTGGTAGTACGGCGGCGGTGTGTGTGTCATGAGGTTGGTTAGCATTGTGTGGTGGTGGTGGGGGGGGGCAGGTGGGAGGAGGAGGTGGAGGGGGATAGCTGGGGGGATGAAGGAAAGGAAACCAAGAACCCAGTGACAGCAGGGGTTCCGCCATGGCAGCTGGGAGGGGAGGGGGCAGTGACCGGGAAGAGCGTCCTCATGCGGCAGGTAGAGAGAGAGAGACTCTTCACGCGGCAGGTAGAGAGAGGGACACGGGGGCAGCGCTGGAACCCAGCTTGTCAACCCAGGGGCGCCATGACGGGATGATGACGGGATGCGTCGTGATAACGATGCGGAAGAAATCGCGGTATGACGGTGACGGTGACTTGGTGTGCGGGCTGATGTGTTTTATAGGATTTCGGGCGGGGGCCCCGGTGATGGGACTTACGGGCTTCCGGCTAACGGTGGCGGACACGCATCTGCTGTCATCAGCAGATAAGGACGGCAGGTAAGGATGAGTTGTTGTCCACAGATGGTGGGCACCTGCAGGACGCCGTACACGGGTCGCGTGTACGGACGAGATGCGAGACTGTCGTTGGCAAGAGGTCGCCCCTACGACGCGAGTCTGCCTGCATCCGTGGTGGAGTTCGGAGAAGCGTCTGGTGTGCAGAGAAGGGTGTGATGAGCGTAGGTATGCAGGACCGGGCTTGATGCTATGCGTTGCGGTGTGTACGACAGGCAAGACGCATGGAGGAGCTAAAGAGGGGAGAGAGGGGCGAGGCAGCAGGTGGGTGCTGCTTGGCGGCGTGCTGGAAGCTCGCTGGGGTAGTGGCTTACCCTGAGGCCCGTGTGACCGTTCAAAGGATAACACTTGGAAGATGGAGGAAACGCGGGTCATCCGCGAACGACCAACGAACGAATGAGTCCGGCCATGCATGGCGGTGAATAATTTGCAATGACATCAATGAAATCCAACGTTGGGAGACGACTACCGGTACCGAATCCCGGTCGGAGCATGCACATCTCTGTGCATCAGCTGCACATGCTGCAAGGCCCAGCATCTCACAGCACGCGTGGAACTTCCTTGTTGCTTTGCTGAAGGGAAGTGCAATTGCCTGTCGCAGTGTAACTTGCGTGCTTGCTTATAGGCATCCCGCCCCCAAACGCCCAACAGCATTTCCTTCCTTGCGTTCTATCAGCTTGCCCCAGTGGAGCTGGGGTGTACGGTAGTGTCAGGGCAGTGTATCTAGCTGGGGTAGATCTGGATCTGGAGGTTAAGGTGAACCAGGAGGCCAGTTCGTGCGACCCCAAACAGAATGCGCGGCAGCAGTCGTCACGCGCTGCAGCAGCAAACAGATCCATGCCTGAGCAATAATGTAGTACTGCATGGTCAGCTGCGTCATGCCGCAACGCCGGCTTGGCCGTCTAACCTTTGCCAGAGTGGGTTGGGAGTACGGGAGTAGTCCTGGGTGCTTGTCCAGGCTCCCGCGCGAGGGTAGAGAGGAAACACTAGAGAATGGATGCCAATGGTTGTAATGTCCTTTTACACGCACAGCGATGCCAGTGGCGCTTTTAGGCGGCCAAAAGACACGCAAGAAGTTCAGTCTTCTCCGCTAGCTGCGCTGGCAAAGGTGACTCCACCGAGAGTCTCCGCACCCTTGCCAGCATGCCGATACGGTACGGCAAAGCTCACGTAAATATCCTACCTTCCCTGTAGTCAGGATATCATAGACAAATCAACAGACAATAGCGAGATGTAAACATCGCGGTAAATAGCGTCTCTTCTAATGACAAGTCGCACAGCAAGCATGACATCATGTCCATGGCCAAGCGCTCACACTAGTCACGCAACTTCCAGCGTTTACTCAAGCAATGGCACTATCATCACATCCTCTAGATTGACCACAAATCGCATACGCGAGACACGGTTGGACGAGCACGTACGGCAACTCTAAGCCACACGATATGACAAGCACGCGCTGTGTCATGACAGCGACACTGGGGTGCGGACTTGACTCCAAGGCGCGGAAAATGGGCGCTGGGCTGCGGGCGCAATCCATGCATATGCATCCAATCCATGTATGTGCAGCAATGCGCGCGGATCAGCAGCAGCAGCCGCCCTCCGCCCCTCCCAAAACCAGGCTGGCGAAACGGAATACCAGGAACTAGAACGTGAGTGACTGTGCATGTGGAAACTCCGCTGCGGCTAGGACCAACCAGGTGGCATTCTGGGGTGTTCGTGTCGCGCTTGCTTAGGATTGTGTGATCAGCATTATTACATTGCCAACCGGTGGCCGCTGTCCCATCCATCCATCAGGTCAACCACATCCATCTGTCCCATCCATCAGGTCAGTCACAGGTCAGAAGGGTAGACCATCCTGGTAAGACCATCGATCACCCAACCAGTAACAATGGCAGCGCTTACAATGCGCATGCAAGGGCAACAACCACAGTCCTACATCCATATATTGCGAGTCTGGGGGCTGTGGGGCCTGAGAGCACTGACGGCTGTACGGCCCCGATGCCAGATACGATGTACCAACCAAACCGCGAACGAACCACACCACGAGCACAAAGCCACAGTCCCAAGCATACATACCAGATCACGTACACGTGCACAAGCCAAGAACAATATTTGCCCACGAAATGCACAAGCCACCAACGGAGCACAACCTGACCTAATACGACACGTCCAGCTTCTTGAACGGGTGTCCACATGACTGTGGAAATGCTGGGAATTTACATCGGTTCGCCAGTGCCCGCCCAGCGACTTATTCGTTACGTATACGGTAGAGGGCTCAATCTATTAAATCAGGAGTGCGAAAGGCGAGTTACGCAGTGAACGACATCCCCAAAACATAAATGTCCGACGTATGGCACCATACGAGTTAAAGCCAGTTCCAAGATATGCGAAGGTATCATCGCCCTCTACCCATACTGCTGGCGCAAGAGGTTGAAGCTGGTGGGATGGCCATCATTGTTCATCAGGTGCTTCTCTCGATGGAAAACGGAGTTGATACTGTCGGTGTCGCTGACGACGATGCCCGAAACCTGAGTGCGTGAAACCGGCAGTGGGGACGTGTTACTAGCCAGCCGAATTTCGCTCGTCAAGGGGTTATGGGGGAGATGGGAGCACGGAGGGCGTGTGGACGGCCATGTCATAGCCCTTGCCGTACTGAGCTGAAGTACAACAAAAGACCCCAGGTCACCCTTCCGATGATGACACGCATGACGCAAAAGTAGGGGCATTATGTATGTATTTATTTGTTATATACACCACCACGTGTCACAAGCAATCCCGAGAGGAAGGTGGGCCCGCTTTAAGTGCTTCAGGGACCTTAGATCGACGGAAAGCAGGCGCTACATACCTTGAAGTGATGCCCATTACTGGTCGTCTTGTCAAGCAGTGTAATTACAATGTCGCAAACCTCTGCCTGAGAAGCCTCCACCTGCGCAAAAAAGGTCTGCGAGACGCGCCGTGCAATTGTCCCGTCGATCTCCCTTGGGTTGCACGTGCAGCCAGACTGGCACGTTACCAGCACGGTTCCCATGAACTCATACGACCCAAGGTAGTGGATCAAGACAGGGATGCGTGAAGCTGGCCTGACAGATGGGCGTTCGGTGCCCACACGGAGTACCAGCTTGCTGCCGGGAGCGTAGGAAACATAGCCCCACTTGGGTTTGATGTCCGTGCCCTCATTCTTCCACTCCCAGCCGTCGGAAGCAACCACGAGCTTCTTCAGCGGGTCCCCAGATGTGCACACCACCCCGGGTGGCACCTCGTTGTCTGCAACAGCGTACGACATGACGTATGATAAGTTGATGACACATCATGTCCCAGCGCAACAGGCGGAGCTGGCTGGCAGAGAAGACACATCAGGCACGCAGCAGTGCATGCTAGGTAGGGAACATACGATCCCAACCATACCACCGAAAGGTGCTCCAGAACCATTAACTGTGGCTACATTAACCCAGAAGCATGCGGTTTAGTTACCGGTACTGCATGCTGGCGTTTGCCCCGAACCCAGAGTTCCCGGGCAAGAGGTTTCGTAGGGTGCATGCGAGATACTTACTGGGGTACATGGGCGGGATCAACGGTTCACCCAGGCGAGTCCACTCTGTTGTAGACAACGGAGATAGCAACACACTGAGGATGGCATTCTGTATCATGTACGCCCCAATGTCTGCCATTATCTTGTGGCCCGTGTCCCCGGGGTGATGGTCGACAAAGACATCGGGGAATGTGAAGCCAGCGGTTGGAGTGTGCACTGCCAGCTGGTAAAGCCCGTTGCGGTTTGAGAGGTAGGAGAGGTCGTAGTACGAAGCCAGGACACCTGCGGGGCGGGAATACGACAGGTCTGACATGTAGGAGAGTACGACAGGTCAGTACGACGGGTCTGGCACGTAGAAAAGTACGAGGAGCGTGGCGGGGACAGGACATTCAAGGGGAAGGTCACATAGATGGCCCACTATAGAATGTGCGACCACCAACTCCAGTCAGACATGTGTTGAGACGCCATCCACGAACCACAGAGGCAACGCTGAGTACTTACTCTCAACATCCTCACTTGACACCGGAAGTGAAGACGCATCGGGACAACGCGACACGCGACACGTGAGGGAAGAGAGGAGGCGAAGAAGAGAAGAATCAGACACGGGAGAGACAAGCCAACGAACAGTGGCTAACATGGCACGTACGGTATTGCAATCACAAACCTGCAGCACTGCGTGCAGCTGCTGATTGCCAGCTGCCATGTACGACTGCAACACGGTGCAACATATGTGTGGAACGTGAAGTCGGCATGTGTACGCTGCTTTTCATGCATGGCACGTCCTCGCAGGTTTACCCGCAGTCCAAATGTGAAGTCACAGCATATAGCACAGTTTCACCCCGGAAGCCATCCAAACACACGCATAGTACGCGCGATGCAGAAAAACACTGACCCAAGACGCCGAGTTCTAGACTCACACTGTTCGGTAAAATGGTCCGGCTGCTGCCAATTGGTCGGTAACAAGGGCTACTTGCATTAGTACCACAGCAGGCCGGCTTGGAAAGTTGAGGATACGACGTATGAGCCGCTCCATGTCTACGACAGGACGATTGTTGACTATTTGATCATCAAAAGCGTCGTTCCAGGCGTACCTGCGCATTGGTACATGGTTGCGCACCGGTAACCCACCATGCGCATCCGACTAACTACTTCCGCGTCTAGTGTTAGCCACTTACTCTAGGAAGACGAGGTCCACATCGGGCGTGAGGGAGTTCTCGAGGCAGATGGCCATGTAAGCACTTGGAGTTCCACAAACAGCACCTACACAAGTGAGCACGGCCACAATCCCGGCATTAGAATTGTAGGATTTATCACGAACATGACATTTTCAACCTTCATCGCTCCGGCTGGACGAGTATTGCGATGTTGCGACCGTGGAGCTCACCGTTCTGGGAAGTTATGTTTCCTCTTGCAGACGATGCCTGGGATTGAAAAGCGTATAGTATAAAGAGATGCATGTATATGTATGCACTGACGAAACAATTGCCGGCGGCCAACATACCAGCCAATCGGCAAAAACCGACCACCAATCAGTTTCGCGTATCTTTGACGCGCCGGTGCCGAATGTAATGCTGTAGAGCAAGAAGTAAGTTTAGGTAATAGAAACTCATGTTAGCGCCTCAACAAGTTCAACTTACCTCCCGCCGACGGCTCCGATTTTCAGGGGCCGTGAACCCTGAATAAGGTCCATGGCAAACTTCCGAAGCCGAATAGAAGACCCAACATGGCCCATGGCAGCTCTTAGCTGCTCCTCCGGCAAGTAGAATTTGTAGTTAAAGAACGGCTTCAATACGTCCTTTGCACTAGGTTCCAGACTATGTATGCTCCTGCTCCAAAGCAAGTTATCTCTTATAGGACGGTAGTTGGGATATAACGTTGGGTCCTGGGCTGCCTTCACAGGTGCAAAAGAAGCGATGAGGCATGCGAGGGAAAATGAAAAGGCCCATTGACGGATAGCCATTTTCATAGGTAGTTCGTAGGTCAATGCCAGATAGTAAACGTGTTCAGTAATTCCCAATTACTCTCTGGAGTCTCTGGAGCATGCGCACTTGGTACGGTGTACGGTACGCGGGCGAGTAAGCAAACAGTTCTGCCTCCCTTCTTCTATATTTTTCTATTGTCGCGCCTGTTCGGGAATAGGGGTGTTTCTATGGGCTTAGGTTTGGTTTCGGACCGATCCTAAGCCAACCTAAGGGAATCTCGTCCCATGCTCGTCCCACCAATACTTAGCTAAGTTGCTGCTAAGTTGCTAAGTGGGGTGACCCCGCTTGGCAACTTAGCAGCAACTTAGCACCGGCTTAGGCTGGAGCGAGTGGAGCCAGCGGGCCCTACTCATTGAGCCTGCAGACCTTCCGACGACCCTAAACGCGTCCAGGATTCGGTCGTTAGAACCGATTACGCAATCGCGTAATTGACCCCACCGCCGTGCTTTGCCCTAAAAACTACTGGTATCAATTCAAATCCGCCTGTACTCGAGATAGCACAAAAGGCCTGGGCAAAGCACGCACATGGCACCACCGGAGACCGGACTTGCAAGACACCAAGTCCACTGACTTTCACACCAGTTTGTGCTATTCTGGCTACTGAACAATGTTGGTTTGCAGTAGGAAGGCTCTGGCTTGCGTTACATAGCCGAACTGTGAAGGACATGCTAACTGGAAGCTGAGTCTGCATACTTAAGGCGTTTGCGCCGCTTTAAGCTTAAATGTAGAGCCCGTATGAAGCAGTCGACATAAGTTGCCGATTGTGGGTGAACGGGAGATGGACTCGTGCAAGCTGGGGATGTAGGCCTTGCATTTTTCCGAATCCCAGACACATGAGGCCCCCCAGAAGCAGTATCTTGGCGCTCCATGCTATATGAAGTAAGATGGTAGGATGCAAGCCATCTCCTTGGCGAACTTGTGTGTCGCAACCAAGACCATGACGAAGTCCCCTCAACGTCGCGCTGGCGGGCACAAGTGCAACAGCCCTAAGAAGGACTGGAAGAGTAAGGTGATCGAGAAGTTCAAGGCGCAGAAGCGTCGTTCGGTGTCTCCTCGTTCCAGCCCGGAGAAGCCCGTGACCCCAGCCACTCCGGCTGATGCCCCTGCTGCGCCGGCTGCGCCAGCTGCACCGGCTTCTCCAATGAACTTGGTTTCTCCGGATGTTTGCAACCTTCTCTCCTCACCGGAGAACAACTTCACGCCTAATAAGTACACCGGCTGTCCGGTCCTGATCATGATCAAGCTAACCCCCCGCCCACCGGCACCTACGGTGATCAGCGTGATCCACCGTAATCAGGGCCCGTAGCTTCATACGAAGCATAGGCAATACCATTTGGAGCAATGCAACAGCATATAGGACAGGTAAAAAGGCACTTAAAGCTCATCACGGTTTACTCATAACAAATACCGGTTTTCCGGTGTTGCTCATGATCAGCGTGATCAGCCCCTCAGCGGGGCCTCGCACCGCTGTTGACCAGTGCCCGGGCAGTGTGTTCTTGCGGGTAGAGGTAAGCTACGGCCCCCCCGCGTGCCTTTTGAGGTAGGTGTTTCCCGGGAATGGGCCTGATCACGGCCTGTACCGGATAACCGGTTGCCAGCGTGATGTTGCGATGCCCTCACAGGACCACACATGCAGGTTAACCAGTGCCGGGGAAGCGTGTGCTTGCGTGTAGAGGCATGCTAGTCCAATGCAACACCGCACTACACATAAACCGTTCCTGACCTATTCCCTTACAAGCCCCCGCTCAGTCCCGTTTAAGCCTAGCCGTCGTACACTGGCCTTGATGTGGGGCAAGGCCGCGTGCTGTTCTCCGCAAGCCAAGTCACCAGCAATTTGCCCTCGGGCAGTACCTTCATTTGGTTACCCAGTTCTTTGCCCAGGATTTTTGTGCATTCTCGAGTATGGGCGGATTGAATTGATACCAGTAGTTTTTAGGGCAAAGCACGGTGGTGGGGTCAATTACGCGATTGCGTAATCGGTTCTAACGACCGAGCCGGGGATACTAAGCAAGATGACAAGGTTGTATAGTCGGCATTTTGCGGACCTTCTTTTAATTGTTAAAATGCCCAAGAAATCAAAATCAACTTCTCAATTGTCAACTTATAAAGTGCGTGTCCTTGCTTCTTATTGGAGAATCCAATGGTTGATGCGGTTGTGCATAGGGGCACAAAAAATGGTAATTTTCAAAGTGGCGCTTGGCAATGGCAAACTAGATGGCAAACGAGCTGGAAGCCTACAAGCCTGTGAGCGCTTGAACGCAGATGCAAGAGCCTCCACCAACTCAAACGACTCCAACATGGCATGTTGTCTACTTGTTACGCAGCCAGTAGTTAGCTGTCGACATTAGCTTGCTGGGAATCCAACTCGCTAGCTGCTGAGGACGCCGCATGCACTGTAGCGTATGCGCATGCGTACTGGTCGTGCCCAGTTAAGGATCCAACTAGACTTTATGGCATTTTTGGCATTTTCCTTTACGGTACCCAGTCCTAGTAAGGGCCGCAATCCTTCGGTCAGCAGTAGCCTGCTCGTCAATCGTTGGTCTCGGAAGCACGCACCAAAGCCCATGTGTGCCATCCACCTGGTTAATGCTTGTCAGCAAGTTATGCTCTATAGTGCACCATCTACGTTATAGCTCGCCTTGGTCTCGTAGCAGTCACCTTTTTAAATATAACTTTCCGCTTTATCGGTCTGGCACGTATTACCGTGCTTGAAGCTTGAGATTTATAACGTGTTATGTGTCTTTCAAGTCACGATTTGCAGCAACGTTTGGTTGAAAGCGAGAAAATCTCGAAACTGTCTTGCGTCGGACGACGTGAGCAACATATCCTAATGGTCTAGTGACTGCGTCATTTAAAGGCCGGTTATGTGGTCAGCATCTGCGAAAACAGGCCGGTCCGCCTCGCAGCGGCTGCTAAGTACGCGGATTGTCCGACTCTGCATCCTTATAGTGGGTAGCCTCGCGCTTCTTACATACGTATGGAAAGTCACTTTCTCCTTCCCGGATATCCTAGCAAGTCATGGTGACGAACAGCTTTTGCGGCAACGGCGCTTTCTCACTGCCTCGGGCTCATCCTCGGGCATCCCGGTTGCGGCGCAGCGGTCGCTGGCCCCAAGCCAGCCTACCCAATCGCCGCAACTCGTTCCTGAACCGCAGCGACCGTTACGCCAATTACCATACACGGATCAAAAATACCGACTATGGAACCTTACAGACCCGGACACCTCTCCTCGTTGCGCGGCTTCCAAGATTTGCGATGGCAACTACGATTGCGGTCCGGATGGTCTAGGCTGCGTCACAGACGCGGCGGGGCGCCGAGAGTTCATCCGCAAGGCTGCCAAGTGGACATGGGAGGGCTACAGGTGAGACCGCAGGCGCCAAGGCAGGCCTCCTCACAGTGCAGAGTTATCCAGAGGAATGTGCCTGCTGCCTGGGACGTCCGTAGATTGGGCAGGCGGTTATGCCAGGACAACATGGGTGAAGTGAATGGTGTACTGAAACCGTGGCTGTAGCCTCTTGCGTCACGGCAATCCTGACGCGCATGCATGAGCCGCATCACGACGCAACCAAGCCATGCAGTCGCGCATGCAGTGCAACAGCAAATCTGGGCTCCTCACCGACTGGCCAACCCGCTTCAGCAGCCACCACTACACGCCTTCCTGCCTTGCGTGAGCTGCCTACAGCGAGCCGTCCTGCCTTCCTTCTGACTTGCTCCCTTCCGCTCCCTTCACCAAAGTACGCTTGAACGGCTGAAGCTCCTCCCTTCCCTTTCTTCATAAATGTCTTCCCCTTGGCTCCCGGCCGTCCTTTCCCGCGCCGTCATTTCCCTCCTCCTTCCTTCCCGCCCGTCCTTCCCTCCTCAGGAAGTACGCATGGGGTCACGACGAGCTCAACGCGGTCAACCGCAGCAGCTACGACTGGCTCCACCTGGGCCTCACCATTGTCGACTCGCTGGACACGCTGCAGCTGCTGGGGCTGGAGGCGGAATATGAGGAGGCGCGACACTGGGTGCTCAATAACCTGGACTCAAGCCCGCAGGGGCCTGTATCGGTGGGTCGGGTTGGCCCATGGTTCGTTTGTTACGATTCGTTTTTGTGTGTGGGAAGACGGGCCTGCTGCTGCTTCGTGGTCAGAAGGCAGGAAAGCGCGGGTGGTTCTGAAGCATTGGGATGCGGACAAAGTGACCCGTGGGTCGTTGGGTGGGTCCAGGGACGCACAGAACGCAGGAGGGGGATTTGCTGCGGGGTGATGCTGCATGGGAGCGGTGCGGCATGAGGGCTGTGCAGTACAGAAAGGATAGGACAGGGCTAGACCAGTCGTGGCGTTCCTGGCTGTGACGTGATGTCATAACAGGGTTTTATGTTTCGTCGCAGCTGCTTAGCAGCTTTGCGAGACGTATGCACCACCCGCAACCTACTTTGTTCCTACAAACGACCACCTATGTACACATGCTTTTCCTCTCCGCACCCCTTGTGGTTTCCTCCGGTTCTGTATGGTCTTTGACCCCCCCCCCCGCCCCCACTGCCGTACGTTCGCCAGGTGTTTGAGACGATCATCCGCGTGCTTGGCGGCCTGCTGTCGGCCTTTGCGCGCAGCGGTGACCAGGCGCTGCTGGGGAAGGCGCTAGAGTTCGGCGACAGGTGCCCTGGGGGTGGGGGGCAGGGGCCCTGGGGGTGGGCCCTTCCTTTTGATTCAACATAGCCATGTGTCTATCGAAACGGAACCAATCCCTACCGCCCCATATCCCGTGCATGACCTTTCACGCATGATGAGTCCAGCGCTACCCCACCCGATCTGGCTGTCCCACTGCACCCATGCATGCAGACTGCTCCCCGCCTTCAACACCACCACCGGAGCAGCGCAGCCGCAGTTCGAACTCCGCACCCGCGGCGCCAACGAGTCGCACTACCGAGCGCATATGGAGCTGACCTGTGTTGCGGAGGTGGGAACCCTCTCGCTGGAGTTTAGCAGCCTCAGCAGGTTCACAGGTGCGGACGGAGTGGCGGACCCATGGGTCAGTGTATGGCACACAACAGGCGTGGTATCCGGGCCCGCTGCTGGTCCGCGTCCTCATCAACGTACATGCCGCCCCACCTCGGTCTCCGCGACTGTGCTGGGAATGCACATGCAGTTGCATTGCACCTGGCCACCAACCCCAGTTCACGTGCCCTGTCGTACTGCCCTGTTGTACTGTTTCAGCGCACTCCGCTGTCGTACCGGTTTCCATTGCACGTTCGCATTGCACACTCTCCGTACCCTTCCCCCCCTTCCGCCCCCACAGGTCGCCCCGAGTTCCGGCAGCTGGGTGTGCGCTCCTGGCAGCTGCTGGGCGGCCTGCCCTCCCTAGACGGGCTGCTGTGCATCGACCTGCAGACCACCCGCGACAGCAGCAGCAGCGGCAGCACGGGGGACAGCGGCAGCAGCGGCGCTGGTGGTGGTGGTGGGGGCGGTGCCATTGATAGCACGCGTGGCGGCAGTAATGGTACGGCAGCGGTTGCAGCGGACGGTGGCGAGCGACTGAGCTGCCGTAGTCAGCATTACGGCTTCGGTCCCGCTGCTGACAGCGCGTACGAGTACATGTTGAAGCAGTGGATCCTGAGCAATGGACGCGATGGGGTGAGGACTGCCGGGGACCCCATGCATGTCGTTCGCCTGCATGTACGGCATGCGCGTCTGTGCGCATGCAATCATAGCCTCGGCCTCCCGCCCACTCACACCTGCCTCGCCAGGTACATCCCTGTAGCTAACACACAGCAGTTCCGAATGACCCTGTTTTGAGCACGTTGCCATTCAGCAGCTTCGGTAACCATGCGTGTGTCCCATTCACGCATGCGGCATGCAGCCGTGCACACAAGCCCGCACGCATTACGCACCCATGCACCTGCTGTGCCCCCGCATCACGCACCCATGCACCCCTGCGCGCAGGTCTGTCTGGACATGTACACGGCGGCGCTGCGGGGCATGCGGCGGCACCTGCTGCGGGAGGTGTGGGCGGGTCCGGAGCTGGGGTCGCAGTGGATGGTGGCGGAGCGGCAGGGCCCGCGGGAGGAGAAGTTCGCGGTGACGACGCTGATGCTGGACCACCTGACGTGCTTCCTGCCGGGAACCCTGGCGCTGGGTGGGTGGTGGGGGCAGGGAGGGGCGCTGGGTGGGTGGTGGGGGCAGGGAGGGGCGCTGGGTGGGTGGTGGGGGCAGGGAGGGGCGCTGGGTGGGTGGTGGGGGCTGGGAGGGGCGCTGGGTGGGTGGTGGGGCAGGGAGGGGTATTGCGTTACAAAACACGTAATACCCTCATCGCCCGCGCATGCAGGCCACATGTACCGCATCAACTCCGCTGCCGGCCCCGAAGACGATGACGACCTCACCCTCGCCGTCAAACTCGCCAAGACCTGCTACGAAATGTACCGCCAATCCGCCAGCGGTGTTGCCTTTGATGCCGTACTGCTCATTCCCGATTACAGCTCACTCCAGTCTAACACCGGCTCGCTGAATGATAGTCAGCACGCCGTGAAGGAGCGGTGGATGCCGGGGGATGAAGTGCGTCACCCCGCTTCGTCACCGCTACAGCCGTCTACAGTGAATGCGTTCGGCGGTGGTGCTGCTGCTGCGGGTAGCGGTGGTGGTTCTTCTGGGGAGCAGCGGGGGCCACAGGGCGGTGTCATGCAGGGCCATGGGGCTACCAATGGGGTAAGCCACCGCCGCCGACTACTACAGCAAGGGGGACAGCAGGGGCAGGGGCAGCAGCCGCATGAAGGACAGCAGCAGGGAGGGTTGCAGCAGCAACCGCAGGTGCAGCAGCAGCAGCCGGCCGCAGGAAGGCCCCGCTTGAAGCACGTGTTCCAGCCCCAGCGCCCCGAGAGCAAGTTGCGACCCGAGGTGGTAGAGTCGCTGTTCTACTTGTGGAGGGCGACAGGTGAGGGGAGGAGGAGGTGGAGGGGGGGAAGGGAGAGGGGAAGAATGCTGGGGTGTGTTGCAGGAGGAATGAACTAGCCGTGTGACAAGGCCGGGGGGTGCGGCTGGGGTGGGGTAGGCTGTCCGGGAGGAAGGGACGCTAGGTAAGGGCGATACGGTGCTGGCTGGGGTGTGGAGTCGAATGCTGGGGGGACAGAAGGTTACGATAGGGGGGACAGACGCCTGGATGCGCAAGGGAGGGGCGTTGCGGGGCTGGGCGATGGTGCCGGGGGCAGGGCTTGCCGGTATGTGTTATGCGGAGTTTGAGGGACTTGCCTCCTTCCATGGTGCAACATGCATGCCGTACAAATGCCATCTGCGCCGAACATGGCTCACCTGCTACACGCCCACGAGCTCTCTTGTTCCAGGCTCTGCATCCCGTCATCCTTGTAGCTGTGCAGCTTTCCTTCTGGGGTGCATGCACGTTGCCAGGCCACTAACCCCCCCACCCTCGCACCCCCCTGTCAGCACAGCCGCCAGCATATGGAGCTCTGATGCCAGTTGTGCTTTCATTGCTCCCCCTAAACCCACACTAGTAGTCTAGCTACTGAACTACACGAAATCCTACCATATATTGCAGTGACCAGTGCGTAATCCTCACATGCCCTCCTAACTCCCCTCCCTCCCCTCTTCCCTCCCCTCTTCCCTCCCCCCCCTTCCCCACCCCGCCAGGCGACCCCATCTACCGCGAATGGGGCTGGAACATGTTCCGGGCGCTGGAGCGCTGGTGCCGGGTGGAGTCGGGCGGCTACCAGGGCCTCGCCTTCGTGGACAAAGTGCCGCCGCCAGGTGGGGGGACGGAGCGATCCATGGGTCGGGGGGCACCCGCGGGTCTCACACCTGCACCATGGCGGGTCGCACTGCTCCTGTGCCATGGGTCTCGGAGGAACCTGTGACAGCCTGCTAGTTTGGTCGGGAAGCCCTGAGGAAAAGACCCTACCAGAAACCCCCATCCCATGTCTGACACTCACTCGTCGCCATTCAAGACATACCATTTTGACGTGATGTGACAGGGTGAAGGTCCTATCCGTGACACTGCATCCACAGTTACCAGGATGTGGGGCTAGGGATGTGTGACGCCATCCAACTGTCATTCGTGCGGTGCCGTACAGCCCCCCACTGCCGCCCCCACATCCCACACTGCCGGCCCCCCCCCGCAGGTGCCGACCGGCAGGAGTCCTTCTGGCTGGCTGAGACGCTCAAATACTTCTACCTGCTGTTCTCGGATGACCCGGATGAGGTGACTGGGGGACCGGGGCCGCATGTACCGGCACTTGAGGGGGGAAAAGGAATTCCAATGTGTGGTGTGATAATGGTACAAATATACTTGAGGGGGAGGGGGTAGATGAGAAGCGCAGCAACTGGACACCCAATTCCATATCCCGACACATACAGCGAGCGCATGCGGAGACGGCATCCTAGCAAGGATGTGGTTGATGGGCCGGGGAATCGGCTGGGTATGTGGTGGGGAGGCGGGGTGGGCGCTGGTCAGCACGTCTGCTTCTACTATAGTCTCTGGTGAAGCAGAGGGCACCATGCTGCCCCAGGTACCCCGGTCATGCTGCCCCAGGTACCCCGGTCATGCTGCCCCAGGTACCCCGGTCATGCTGCCCCAGGTACCCCGGTCATGCTGCCCCAGGTACCCCGGTCATGCTGCCCCAGGTACCCCGGTCATGCTGCCCCAGGTACCCCGGTCATGGCGTTCCTGTCATGTCGTTTTCCCCCCTCGCCCCAGGTCCCGCTGGATGAGTTCGTGTTCAACACGGAGGCGCACCCGCTGCCCATCTGGGGCTCACCCGCGGACACCCGGCTGAGGCAGGCGCTGCGGACCCAGCCGGCGGGCGGGCGGGGGGCGGGCGGGGGGCGGGCGCCTGGGCTGCACCGGGGGCAGCAGCAACAGCCGGCCAGCTAGGTGTGTTTGGTGCGTGATGTGTGCTAGGCTAGGCTAGGCTAGACAGCTGGGGAGGGGGTGCGACCCATCAGACACGTGCATGGTGGAGTCCGCAGCAGCAGCAGCGGCAGCAGCAGCTGGAGGGCGGCTTGCAAGGGGAGCTCCTGCCGTGATGACCGGCGCCCTCACGGTTGGGCTGGGGGCGGGGTGCTGCACCTGGGGCGTGTGCGGCAGAGGCGGCAGCAACAGCCCTGGTTCAGTGGGTCGGGCGTCGTAATGCAGAAGCGCGCAGGCAGTTGTTACGTAGTGAAGTGGCGGAAAGGCGGGGGCAGAAGCGCAAACTCAGGTGGCGGGTAGCAGTGGGAGGATGCGGATAGCAGAGGCCGCTTTGAACGGCGACAGTGGCGGGGGTTTGTTTTGCGACGCATGGGTACCCATGCACGCCCCGTGGATGAGGCACCCCGCCGACACCCCTGGCATGCCCTAAAACCCTATCACCCATTAATTACAAAGAATATATGTTACACAGGTGTTACACCTGGTTACACCCGTATTTGCTCGATCAGCCGTGCAACCCGTGATAGCTTGGTCATAGCTTGATCATAGCGTGATCATTGAAAGATCCTGAATGTTACACGTGACCCAATGACTGCACTGATTTTGGTTCTCTTGACAATTCATCGAGGCCATCCGGCGGCGACGTGTGTGTAACTTCCTGTGGCGACGGAGGAGGGAAGGCATATGGGGTTATATGTTGGATGTATTTCAGGACTATGACGGAAGGAAACCAAGGGAGGAGGAGTTCGGCGCGACGGGCTGGTTAATGGCTGTTAGTATGTGAACCCAACACTTCAGCAGTGAGGATTGTGACTCTTTTTACTGACTGTGCGCGTGCATGCTGGCATGCGGGTCGTGTGGTTCCAGTTGCGCTTGCAGCAAGGGAGTTCGTGGCAACACAGCGGTGGTGGAGGACTGACAGATTGTGCCCTGCATGGCAGTAGAGGTGTGTGAAGGACGGGGGCAGCAGCTGCAGCTGAAGAGTGGTGAAAGGCGCTTGTTGGGTGGTTCCTTTGCTGTTGCAAACAGCGCAATCACAACTGCTCTTTGTGGCCTTGGTGTTGAAGAGCTCGAATCAGGTTTGGGTGTGGTTCGTGTGGCTTCCACTTGTGCTGCTGCCCGTTGGCTGCTGTGCGAGCTGTTTGGAAGTGCAGGACCACAAACATGTGATCATGGCCACCGTTTGGGGAGATAAACTGAAGTGGGATTTTCGGTCGGAGACTACTGATTGTTCTGGAATGGGATACTTGTAATAACTCCGCGCGAGCAACAATGCACTGGTGGCAATTCACTGCACTTCTCAGTGGAACATTCTGATAACCTTGCTGGATTTGGGGAGCAACATGTTCATATCGTGCATGTCTGTGTATGTCGTCGATGTCACCCGGAGATGTCGTGTGCACGTCGATCGCATCCTAAACCACAACAGCCTTCCACGCCTACCGACCTCCTCCGCCAGACACGGGAGACCCCTCCAACAACCCCGCGGCTCAGTTCATCTAATCCACCACCCAAAATCTCCAGTTGCTTCACTTCACATTTTTTCACCACCTACATACCCAAAACACAAACTGCCATTGCCCTCGTAATGGCACATGCCATAGGGCATGCTTGATAGCAATTGGATGTGGGCAGGCGGTTAGACCGTCTAGAGTGCGACCGAGGTACCGGTAGCCCTAACCAAACAAAATAACGGGCAGGAAAGTACCCCAACGCCCGGTTGTTAATGTGCCTCAACGCACTCAATGGAAGTTATGCCTGACCAATCCTCCAGTACGGCCAAATCCCTAACTGACTGTCCGACTACCCAATCCGGTTCCAATCCCAGGATCCGGCTCTCAATCAGCAACGGCCCCAGCAAACCCCACGGCATTGGCACGGGGGGTCAGGTTCCAAGACGCCACGAGGAGTGTCGAGTACTCATACAATAAAAAAAACACAACAGGAACTTTGGCGCGGCACATGGCCTACATGACCTAGTTCCTGTTACCAGCTGGCCCCCGGCACGTTATCAGTGGTGCATGTTTGCAAGTTCGAGCCCAAGCTCTCTCCCTATGAAACTGCCTGAGGTCATGACCACCTCCATTTCGGAGCCCTGAAGGACACACACGATGTTTGACCACCGCTTCAACTCGTAACGGTTGTCCCAGCAACTGCCCGTAATCTTGGCGAGAACGGGGCCGTCGTAGAAACAGATGTAGCCGAGCTCTTGAAGGTACCTGCTGCACTGCTTCAGGGTGCCGCCTGACCGAGACCAGAGGTGGTGGTATTCGAAGGAGAGGATGCCGATTCGGTGGTTTCGAAGCGCAGCATAGGCGCCTGCGAGCACGGCTGGGTCAAAGCCCTCGGTGTCAATTTTCAAAACGTCGATGTAGGGTAAACCCAAGGATGCCATCTCTGTGTCGATGGTCGTGACGTTGACGGACTGCAGGGCGCCCTCAGATTTGCTATCAAGGCTGCAATAATTGGTGTTGCATTCCACAGGAAACTGGGCTACTCCGGTCCGATTCGAGACTGCTGCCTGGCGAATGTGAAAGCGGACATGGGTTCGATCCTTAGCTGCCTCCGTGCTGATGGCCGTGTCCGGCGGGCCATATACACTGTCCCGGGCGGTGGTAAGGCTCTTTAAGTGGATATTGGATGGCTCGTAGCAGAACACGTCGACGGTTTGCTGGCCATGATTGGGAAACTTCGCTGGCGCCTGCTTGCACTCGTTGCATCCTCCGCAAGGACGGCTGTATACCTTTTGCTTTAAATGCGAGTTGTAAAACTTCTGCAGCTGATCGCCATGTGCAGGTGCTAGGTAATTCAGAGCCGTGGCTGAAAAGTAACCCTTGTTGCAACCAACGTCCACAACCGTCGTGTGTCGTGGCACCTTCAAGTTTAACTCTGCAGGCAGGGGGTTGGCCAGGTAAGAATGGCTGCGGGATAAACGGCAATGCAGCAGCGACGCGTGCAGCTGTTATGCTGCGGGCATGGGCTGCTCGGCAATCGACACTCACCGGCTAAGTGCCTGAGCCACCAATGATCAGCGCATGCAGAATGATACGTTCTTTGTTTGATTCCCGAAACAAGCTTATTCGCCTGTGATGCTGCTTTCTCGGGCGTGCAGCCAAAGGGGTCCGACGAGTAGGCCTTCCTTAATGCAGCATCTCTAAGCTTTTCTTGGCCCTCAGCTAGTGGCCGCCAACAACAATGGCTGAGAGGAAGCATCGCCACCATGCCTATAAGTAAGGTGCAAGCAAAGCTCCCCGACAAGCGGTGTCGGCTCCATTGTACTAATTGAGCCATTGACGTATTGAATGCTCACGCCTATTCTATTGTGTTTTCTCGGGGTACAACGCGACGAATCCATGAACCATGACATTCAAACACCGAAAGGGCGTACGGCAGTAGCTAGTTACGGCACAATGCGTAGTGACTCATGATCACGGTGCATCGCTGCTTCAGCGGGTTTGTAACCTTTGCAAGACGTACAAGAGAATGACAATTTGTCCAGCTCGCATTGCGCCAGCGCAGCCCTGATACGCTGCTGCTTTCCATGTCGCATGACCAGCCTTTCCCACCAAAACTACCCCTAAAGTGCTTTAATAGAAGCCTTGCATAACGCATTGTAAAATAACTATTGCCAGCAAGTAAAGCTACCTGCGCAGTACGCATAGAGGTCTACAGGAGCTACCACGCCCCGGCTACCTGCATGCCAGCAATTTCACCAGCAACAATTCACATACACATAGCTATGATAATCAGTACATACATCTAGCTGTGGTCTTCGAATTGGCTAGCCCTGGTTCAAGCTGTTTTGAAGCTCCGATGACGAAGGCAAACGCGGCGAGCCATAAGATGCCAGCAGCGCCCGGCTCGAAGGCGAGCCTGAAACAGTGCCCATGCCGCTGCCCATGCCTCCCGCAACCATCATGGAGACGGAAGCGCTTCCGCGAGAGGCGTTGCCTGCTGTCACGCCGCCGGGGGCTGTGCCGGATACGGCACCAAAGGATGGCATGCGGCGAGGGCTCAGCGGCACGGAGGGGCTGCGCGGGCGGGGCAGCAGGGAGGGGCTGCGGGGCCGCGGCACACCGCCGCTCCCGTCGTACAGGCCCTGCACGAGAGGCGGAGGGACGGGAGGGTCGTCATGGTTGTGAGGACATTGAGAGATGCGGCATGCGAAGCTTAAGTGCCGAGGGTCGTAGTGTTTGTGATGCGGTGCATGCAATGGCAAAAGTGGATATGCGTACCGTGCGGTAGAGGGCTGGCAGTCCTTCACAGCACCCAGCAACAGAGCACGCGCAGATCATCACGCACCCAACCCGATCACGTGTTACCCCCAACATGGCGTTTTACGTCGTACGATGTATATATCGTACGACGTAAAACGCCTCCAAGGCCAAACACAGTAGGTGCGTGCGAAATACATCGAACCCACTCCATTCCCACCCGCACCTCCCTGCCCGCCTCCAGCATCCGAACACACGCTCCCGGTACCTGTGCCCCGCTCCCGCCCGCAGCCCCTTGTGTGCTACCCCCGTAGCTGCTCCCAGCACTCCCACATCCCTCGCTGCTGGGTGGTTCCTTCACAGACGGGTGCCAGCTCAGCCTATCTACTTCCCGCCACCCTCCTCCTCACCGTCCCTTCGCCATGCTCTAACTTGTGACTTGGTAAGTCTCTGGACTCCCCCGCCACCCCACCCCCCACCCGCCATCCCCCCCACCTGGTCCTCATCCGTGTCATCCTGCCCATCCGCCAGCAGCTCAGCGCCCAGCAGCAGCTCGTCACCCGAGCCCTCCGCGCCGCTGTCACCACCACCCGCCGCCTCCTCCGCAGCAGCCTCCGCGGCCTCTGCAGCCTAGGGGCCGGAGGGGGGGTGGGGAAGCAGGGCGAAGGTGGCTGTCGCAGCACGCGGGCACCCTGGGGGCCCCATGGGCACCACCACAACAGTACCGGTGCTCACCCTCCCACCCGCCGCCTCCCTAGCCCCCCACCCACCTGCACCGCCTCATCCTCCTCCTCGCCGCCGCCCCCAAACACCGGCCTGAACCCCGACCTGGCCATCCCAGTAACGCTGCCGCCGCGGCTGCTGCCGTTGCCGCCAACGCCGTTACCCACACTGCCCTGGGCGCTGCCCGGCCGACTGCCGGCACCGCTGGCGGCGAGGGCGACGGCGGCGAGCGCCGCCACGGCGCTGCCGTACCCGCGCGGCGGCGGCGGCATCGCCACCGCCGCCGCCAGGTCACCGTCTGCGTCCAGCACTGCCGCCGCCGCCTCCGCTGCGGGCTGCGGCAGCAGTGCGGAGATCGCTTCAGCGCTGAGAGCCACTCGTGTACCGGCGGGAGGTGAAGGCGGCCGTGGGTGTGCATGCATGGCAAAGGAAGGAGCCTGCGGAGGCGGAGGCGGCGGCAGGAGTGTCAGTACGGCGGCCCCGCCGCCGCCACTGCTGCCGTTGTTGACGCTGCCGCCGCCAATGCTGCCGCCGCCGCCTAGGCTGCCGCTGCCGTAGGAGGAGGTGGTCAGCAGGCCTGATCCTGCCGTTGTGAAGGGCGTGCTTGAAGAGGCGTTGATGTTGAAGTTGTTGCCGCTGCTGCTGTTGTGGAAGGTGGAGAGGTGGCTGGCAGGTGGTAGGGGCAGAGTGGGGCCCAGGTGGGAGTCGGGCTCGGCTACCCCCGCCGACGGCAGCCCTGCTGCCTGAGCCGCCCCCGCCGGCCCCACCGCTGCCGCCACTGGTGGTGCTGTCGGAGCTTGTTGAAGGAGCGGAGGTGGGTCAGCGAATGCAGAAACACCGCCGCCACCGCCACTGCCACTGCCACTGCCGCCATCCGCCGCCGCCGCTGGCACAGCACCAGCGATTGCGGCGGCAGCTGGGTGGCCGTTGGCGGCGGCGGCGGCGGTGCCAGCGGCGGCAGTGGCGGCAGTGGCGGCGGCGGCGGCGGCGGCCGGGAGGGAGTGCCAGACGGGGGCGATGCCGGCAGCCGCGTCCTGGGGTTTGGGGGAGCGGATGGGCTGGGAGGGGCGGAGGGTGCTACAGACAAGAACCAAGCTGGTGTAACGATAAGAGAGATTTTCGTGGCGCAAGGGGCTACCGAGTGAACGTGTGTTAGGAGAACTGGCCGCGAGCAGGAACGTACTGGGATGTCTAACTGGATGTGTTAAAATAACTGGCCGCGAGGCGAAACGTACTGTGATTGCCGAAAGATGAAGTCCTCCCACCGAAAACGCCACAGGTGAAGTGAAGTGTCACACACTGGGTGTGTGTGTGTGTGTCAGGTAGCGACCTGGCGTCTGCGGAACTGCCGTCCCGGGTAATCGCCCGTATCATCGCCGTCCGGACTGCGGCCTGTCCCCTTCCACACCACCTCCCAACACCCAGCTACGACGCCTACCTGTGCAGATGGCGTGGGAGCGCCGTACGTCGACTGCAGCAGCGACGGCAGTACGACAAGCGGTTGCAGCGCAGCGGCAGTGAGGGGTGCCACCCCGTTGGGCCCCCCTTGTGTCGCCTGGGGAGCCTGCTGCTGCACGTAGCCATCCTCCCTGGGCACGTAGCCAGGAGGCGGGGGTGGGGAGTGGGGGGGGGGGATGGACCAAACCATAGTAATGGGGGTCAAAAGGAATATCAAACTACAAGTGAGAGCAAGGCAAAGGGAATAGGAAGCAATTGCTGTAGGGGTCCCTCCCTCCCACCCGTGTTCGTACTTGCTCACCTGTTGTACAGACTAGGCTCCCGGAATCGCTCCCCCTCAAAGTCCTCGCTGCTCCCCAGCCCTCCAAGCAGCGTAGGTTGGTGCGGCAGCAGCAGCGGGCAGCCGTCACCGGCGCCGCCCGCGCCGGCGGCTCCGAAACCGGCTCCCCCCATCATAACTCCGCCCATGCCGCCAAATCCAATGGCGGCTCCGAAACCACCCCCCATGGCACCCCCGACCCCCAGATCCCAGCCACCTTCCGCGGAGGAGCCGCCGGTAGCTGAGGAGTCGCGGACGGGGATGGCGAGACACAGGCTGTGGCGACCGCCTGTGGAGTTAAGGGGAGGAGGATTGGCGGGGTGGCCGGGAGGAGAGCGTGTGGGGTAGGGGAACTGGCCGCGAGTATTTACTGCGTGTGTTAAGAAAACTGGCCGCGAGTAGGAACGTACTGTGATGGTCGGAAGATGAAGTCCCCACAGAACCGCCGCAGAAGCCGAGGAACATTGTAACGTGTGTAGATATAGAAGTCCAGTAGGTGCTAAGAGTAAGTAGGACGTAGTAGTAAGTTGATATGTATGTAGTAGCTGACCATATCGAGTAGAGTATGGAGGTAGATAGGTACGGAGTCTTCGCATCTGGCGCCAACTGGGCGGCGCTAAAAGGATGGGGTACGGAGAAACCAAGCTGGCGTGCCCTTCCCTTCTGCAGCTGCATGGGCTCATCAGCCTAACCCGACCCATGGGTCACCCGCCGCCTCGCCAACCTCCACGCTCTACTCACCTGCCCTTTTCTTCTGCGTCTCTCTCCTTCCCTCCCCATCCTGCCGCCTCCTTCCCCCATTCGTTTGCCATATTTTGCGGCCTCCTATGATTCGTTCCAACTTTTGACCCCCCCTCCCCCCACCTGCGCTGATCCCCCCCTCCCCCCACCTGCGCTGATCGCCGCCACCCTCCACCGCTCCGTGCCCCCGGGCAGGCAGGCCTCCACGGGGTGGTAACAGTCGCGCGGGGGGTCCTGCAGACCCAGGCGACCGAAGGCGCCGCGACCCCACACGAACAGGCGCGAGGTGGAGGTGAGCGCCATGGTGTGGGAGCCGCCCGCGGCAACCTGCGCAGGGGGGGGGAGGGGAGGAGGGGGTAAGGCACATGGGGGGTTACTCACAACGCGCAGGTAACGTGCTAGAAGCAGGAGACCCCGCAGGGTTGATATGTCGCATCGCTCATCATCCTTATTGCATCACCCACCTCTCCGCTGCATGCACGACGCCACCGGGGCCTTCCCACTGTCCACCTACCGGAGGGTTGGGTCACCACACGCAGGCCACCGGTGGAACCCCAGCGCCAGGCTTCAATCACAATGGAACAAAACCCCAGCCCCCCCCCTCTCTCCCCCCCACCCACCTGCACCACCACATGGCTCTCCAGCCCCCGGACCTTCTGCGGCCGCAACTTGGAGGAGCCGCTGCGGTCGCCCAGACCCAGCCTGCCGTACTCGCCGCGGCCCCACACCCACACCTCGCCCGCAGCACTCAGCGCGCAGCTGTGCCAGCCGCCCGCGGCGATGTCGGCGACCTGCAGCCAAGGTGGTGGTGGGGGGGGGAGGCATACGAGGAGGGGGAGGCAGGAGGGGCAGGAGGAGGGGCAGGAGGGGTGTTTGCGCATGTGGGGTTTGCATGGCAGGCTTGGGCGGAAGGTCGCTGTTGTGCTTGCCTCCCTCTTCCCGGCCTCCCCCTCCTCTCCCTCACCAACAACACTCCAACCACCATCAGTGCCACAAAGGGGAGTGCCGCCCCTCCCCGCCCCTCCCCTCCCGCCACCGCCCCCACCCGCCACCCGTCATCTCTCCTCCTCGCCGCCCCTCCTCCCTTTCCTGCCCCCGCCTCCCACTCACCACCACTCCATCCATGTCCAGCACGGGACGCGGCGCCGTCGCATACGTGGTGGAGCCGTTACCCAGCTGGGGGAGTGCGGTGGGGGCGGGGAGGGGTGAGGAGAGCAGCAAGGGCGGGAGGAGGTGCTTTCGCAGTAGGAGGAGGTGTTTTCGCTTACTGCACGAGTCGGGCCATGATATTCTTGGGAACCCAATACCTCACACCTCCATCTTCCACCCTTCCGGTCTCCTATGGTTTGGTATGGTCTTTGACCCCCCTGCTGCCCCTCCCCCCCTCCCCCCCCAACCTGTCCGTAGTCATTCATGCCCCAGCTGAACACCCGCCCCTCCGCCGTGAGCAGCAGACTGTGGAAGGCGCCGCAGCACACCGCCGCCACCCCCACCGCCCCCGGCACCGGGCGGGGGGTGCGCTGAGGGTGCAGCGAGAAGTCGCCCCAGTTCTCACCCCACTGCCACACCTGGGCAGGGGAGAGGGTGGGGGCAGGGGAGGGGGGGGGTGGGTTTATTGTGTAGACTGAAGTGGCGTGGGGCGACGCAGGTCACCTGCGTGACAAAAGCAGCGGCAGGTGACACAAGCCGCCCCGCTGCCACCGCAACCGGATCCAACAGGTTCCGAGCGGAGTTGGGGGCAGGGGGGGCGCTGCGGTCGCACGGCTAACCGCCCCTTGCAGCGCTCCCCTCCCCTCCCTCCCCTGCAAGGTGCAAGTGTGTCCCCAGGTCAGGTCAGGTCAATCCACCCCCCCCCCCCGCTGCGCACCGTTCCGTCCTCCCCCTCCCCCCCTTCCCCCCCGCTGCGCACCGTTCCGTCCTCCAGCAGCGCCAGCGAGTGCATGCCGCCCGCCGCCACCTGTCGCACCCGCAGCTGCGGACCCAGCCCCAGATCAATCTGAGGGGGAGGGAAAAGGAAGGTGGGGGGGCAGGATCAACCTGGGGGGAGGGAGGCCGGCGCGTGTGTGTTTTGTGCCCTTCTGCGGCCCCTGTGAGGGCCGCCGACGAGTGCAGGTGAATTGCGCGGGTGGGCAGGCGGGAAACGCGTGTGGCGGGGCGGAAAACACACACGTGAATAACAAGATGTGCGCAAAGAGACGCGTACTTCCCTCCTCCCCCCCCCTCCCCCCCCACTCCCCACTCCTCCCCCTCCTCTTCCCCCCCACCGGCAGCGGCTCCACGATGTCTCGCTGGCCGGGCACCAGCCCCTGCACGCTGCCGCACTGCCCGTACTCGTTGCCGCCCCACGCGAACATGCCGCCGGTGTCGCTGAGGGCCAGGCAGTGCCAGCCGCCGGTGGCAACCTGGGGGGAGGGGCGGGGGCGGGGGGAGGGGCGGGGGCGGGGGGAGGGGCGGGGGCGGGGGGAGGGGAGAGGGGTCAAGAGGTGTAGCAAAACCACAGGTTAGGCAAAGCAATGCGGATAGAGGAAAGCATAGGAGGGGGCGGGGAGGGCGTGCGGGCAAAGAAGGAGAAGAAAGGAGGAGGCGGGGAGGGGGGCTACACAAAGTGGGCAGCCGCTATAAGCAATACGGTAAACACGCCGAGACTCTAGAGGGGGAGAGTGGGGGAGGAAAGGGGGGGGGAATAGATGATTGCATCAACGGAGTCCGGAAAAGGGGGGAGGTGGAGGAAGACGGGGCTTGTACTGCCCGCTGTGTCGAGCTGCTAACTGGACATGGGCGGCGCCCACCTAGGGTGCGGGTTGCGGAGAGGGTGAAGGGTGATCGAGCGGCTGGTCAGCATGCGAGTTAAAACCAAAACCGCGGCGGTTCTGTGGGGACTTCATCGCCTCGTCAGTTTCCTCATCCCCCGCCCCCACCTGCCCCCACCTGCACCACCCGAATGCCCCTCAGCGCCGAGATGCGCTGCGGCTTGCGCTCCACCGAGCGGTGCCCGTGCCCCAGCGTGCCTCGGTCGTTCCAGCCGAATGACCAGACCTGGGGGAGCGGGAGGGAGGCGAGAGGCGAGGCGGGGAACAGAGCGGGCGTGATGAAGGGAGGCGGTCAGAAAGGCAAAGAAGGAGCAGCGGGTTATCGAGGGGAGGACGGAGATCTCGTCAGACTGGGCTTGACGTCCGCCGCCCTCCCCCCCACCTGCCCCCCTCCCCCCCCACCTGCCCCCCTCCCCCCCCACCTGCCCACTTTGGAATTTCTTTTTTCCCCACCTGCCCCGCCGCGTCAATGGCCAGCGTGTTGCGCGACCCCGCCACCAGGGGTGTACGACAGAAGCCCCGACCGCTGAACTGCACCCCCAGCAGCCGCTCCACCACCTAGCAGGGGGGAGGGGGTGGGAGTGGGGGTGAGGGGGCGAAGAGGAGGGTAAGCACTCAGCAAGGTAGGATAGAGTGATACCCAAAACCCTCTAACCCTCGGGCTTCGTGTCTTTGGGTTTTTCCTTCCCTCTTCCTCTCCCTCTCCCTTCCTTCCCGCCTTTCGAGGCAACCCATCAGCCCTGAACCCCTCAAGCTCCCGGTCCCCCCACCTTCCCCCCCCCGCCAACCCCCTCCCTCACGCACCTTTGGAGCTGGCACGTCAGCGCGGGTGTCCAACCCCAACTGTCCGTCCTCGCTAACGCCCCAACCGAAAACAACCGCCTCAATGGGCGGGTGCCGTACATAGCGCGGCAGACCGGCGCACAGCGAGCCGGGGCCCGCCAATGCCAGTGGAAGCGACCCATGGGACGGCGAGTGCGACGGCGGCTGGGAGCCGGATCCTCCCACCATGTATGCGAGTGACCCGTGGGACGGCGAGTGCGATGGCGGCTGGGAGTACTGCAGCAGCGAGCCCACGGACTGCGAGGGCTCCAGGGAAGGCTGAGGCGAGGGCTGCAGTGAAGACAAGGGATCCGGCTGGGGCTGCGGTTGGGGCTGCGATGGAGGCTGTGAGGCGGGGTAGAGGGGTGCCAGCGGTAGCTGCTGCTGGCTCAGGGGCAGGGGATGCGGGTACTGCAGCGGCGGTGGAGGCTGTTGCGGGGTTCGGTTGCCGTTGTTAGCAGGGGAGAGGGAGCGCGCGGGGCCGAGGGTGGAGGAGCGGCCTAGGGAGGAGGAAGGCCGGTTGGGCGGCAAATTCAGTGCGGAAGGCAGCGGCGCCTGAGGCACCTGGAGCTGCTGCTGCGGCGGCGCCGCTGAACCAGCAGCGGCAGTTGATGCTGTTGTTGCAGCTGCATGCGTGTCGGCGTTAGTGGCAACGCCGCCGGCCCCGTCTGTAGGGTGTACAGGTCCGTCTGCTGCCATCATCGTCGCCAGGGGTCCATCCACGCCGTCTGGACGGGGGCTTGAGGCTTTGGCGGGGGTCATGTTGGCGCTGTTGCTGCTGCTGCTGCTGTCCAGGCCAAGTAGGGTTTAGAGATGGTGTGCGGCTGCAAGTTTGGGCCGGGGCATCAGCGCTGCGTTATGCTGTTGGTGGCCTGACAGGGTCATGAGGGATAACATAAGATGTCGTCAGAGCGCGATGCTTAGCATGGATGTTAGACATGGCCGTAGCGACGTAGGTGGCTCTAGATACCATACAACGGGGAACTGCAGCAGCCTCTTGGCTAAGGCACGAGCAAATTTGGAAAATCCATTGCAGAGATTTTTTGCGCCAGGAGTATGGTTGGACCCCAGACGGATATGGCTACGCGGTCCTAGCCTAATAAAGCCAGTCGCCTTTCCTGCTTAAAGCAGCAGCATCTAACCTGTATATTGCGCATTAATTAGAGCTCCAAAAGGCGAAGACCTGCACCTGAGCCGTCAGCTGAGCCAAAGACTGTGCACAATATTGCATCAACTACAGCGCGCTACAATAAAAATATGCGAAATCTGCAGATGCGAAATCTGCAGATTTCGAAGGCACGCCTTTAACGTTTCGCCCGCAGGGGACTGGTGTACGACAAGAAAACCTGGGGCTCCAGAACCGCTATAGAAGGGTTGCAGCGAAGGACGCAGGAACAACCGTGATGTACGCTCTGACGTTAGCTGTAAAAACGTATGAAAAAAAGCTATGTAAATAAAGGCTCCTTCGCGTCGGGCGACGTTCAGACTTCTGGGCTGAGCTTCGGACGTGAAATTGTCAAAGCTAAGGCTGCATTGCACTAGCTTATAGTTACTGGTTATGGACAAAAGCGGTGTAGGCGAAAAGCGTCCGCCGAAAGCGCAAAGGGGCGACGAATTCTAGTTGCGCTCTCAGAGACGTTCTGTGAGCGCGTGAAGCGCTTAGATGCATGAAGCTAGAACATTTTAAATATGTTTCCTTGAAGAGGACGGCGATGGCCTGTCACTTGAGTAGTGCATGCGTTCTGCATTTCCACGCCAAACTCATACTCGCCGCCTGCAATGCTTGCTAACGCGTTACTAGAATGATAGAGAAGCAGAACGGTGAGCCAAAGTGTGCACGTGCGGGCGGCACATGCGCCAAGCAGCTTCACGAACATGAAGGTCAGCATGTGCCCTGACAAAACCCGCGAGCGGCAGTACAAGTAGTGTCACGCTCGATCCCAGCGTCTCCACCCTGCCCAGCAAACATCCATGTCTTCCCTGGCCTGCCAAGTACTGACGCCCATGTGGGCATGCGCCAGCCTGCCCAACCCATACACACGGCATTCCCGCTCTGCCCAAAGCCCATAATAACAGGCATGCAGGCATCCATGCTGTGCGCGTGCGGCCCCATGCGTGCTTGAGCTGCCAAGTGCAGGCTGACATCCCGCCCCCCCTTTGACCTGCTGCATCCCGCCATCATTGCTTTGCAAGCCAACCGCATGTGGTGGCTTGAGGTGACATACGCGAGCAAGGAGCACAGGTGCCACATGCCACAGGCAGCTCCATGAACGGGCAGGTCAGCAGGTGGCCTGGGGGCCCTGACTCTCTCTCCCAGTACAGCTTCAAAACGCGCAAGCATTCTGCCCACACCAAAGCGCCCATGCGTGCTGCCTCCCCCTCTCTACCCAACCACTGGCGTGCCTGCATCTCCACCCTGCTGGAGTACGTACGCCCATGCATGCAGCGTTCCCCGCTTAGCCTGACAGCTGGCGCCCATACATACCCCCATGCACGCAGGCAATCAGTGCACCTACCCTGCCGGTGTCGGGAAGGGTTGCAGTGCATCTCGGGATGGTGCGTGCTACGGCAGCGCCTGTTTGGGCACACAACACCACCCTGTTCACTGGCCCCCGTGCATGCAACGCATTCACCCTGCATCCAGGCATCCCTGCTGAGTGCATCCCCGCCTGTGCCCAAACTGTGAAAGCACTCATGCATGCAGGCATCACAGTGGTTTCCGAAGACTCGAGCCCATGCGTGCCAGAAGGTGCATGCTGACATCCCCCCTGCCCAAATGCTGTGCGCATGCATCCTCGTGCGTGCTCAAGCTGCCAAGGGGCTAGCTTTCATTCGTGGAAGAACCTCTATACTTTATAAAGACGGGTGTCCATGTGTGGCATCTACGCCTTGCCCAAGCACAGCGCCCAAGCGTGCAAGCGTCCCTCCTCCCGAAATCACAGCGCTCATGCGTGCAGGGCAATCTCCACTTTGCCCAAGTACCAAGCACGTGTGCAGGCAGGCATCCCCGCCGTGCCCTGCTGTTCGTGCAGGCTACCCAACCCTTAACGGCCGAAACCCATACATTCGTGTAGGCAACTACCGGTACAAAGCACCCGTGCGTGCCGGCATGCTCGCACAGCAAGGTTTGCCAATACGACGATTGCCGCAAACACAGGTTGAGTGCAGCAAGAACATGCAAAACCACAGCATTGAGTGAACGCAGCGCGCAAGCAGCACAGATGTGGCATGCCGAAGGCATCCCATGAATGTCAACAGGTGCTCTAGCAAGACGGACCCCTCACGCTCTCCCACTACGGCTTTCAAACGCACAGGTATCCTGCCCATACCAAAGCGCCCACGCGTGCTGGCTCCCTGCTCTTCCCGAACACTGGCTTGCATGCATCTCCATCCTGCTGAAGTATGGGCTAAAGTATGTAAACCCGTGCGTGCAGCCTTCCCCGCTTTGCCTGACAGCTGGGCCCATGTACCGGTATGTAGACATCCCTGCACCCCCATGCACGCAGGCAAACAAGTATGCGTTGTGCCCCGTCCTGCCAGCGTTGTTCTGGCACCCATGCAAGCATGCATCCCTGCCCTGCCAAGTGCTGGTGTTCATGCGGCCCCAACCCAAGGTATCAGCGTCCGTGGGCGCACGCATTACCGCCCTGCTCACTAGCCCCTGTACACGCAGCATGCGCACCCTTCCTAGACGCCAGCGGGGACGGTGTCCCCACACTGGCCAACTGCGGGATGCAGGGCGTCCATGCATCTTCACCCTGCTGAGGTAAGGGCTGAAGTACGTCCACCCGTGCATGCAGCCTTTCCCGCTTTGGCTGACAGCTGGCGCCCATACATACCCCCATGCAAACAGGCTATCAGTGCACCTACCCTGCCGGCGCCGGGAAGGGGTGCAGTGTATCTCGCCCAGCCGGGACGGTATGTGCTGGGGCAGGGCACAATTCATCTCGCCCAGCTGCGGATATGCATCCTCACCCTCTCCCGGTATGACCGCCCTTATGCACACACTAGTATGTTCCTACTCGCGGCCAGTTTTCTTAACACACCCGCCCAGCTCACGGGCCCTAGCGTGGGCATGCAGGCATCCCTGCCGCGTTCATCCCCGCCCGTGCTTATATTGCGAAAGGGCCAGTGCTCACGCGTGCAGGCATCACCCAAGACTACTTGCGCCCATGCGTGCCTTAAGGTGCAGACATCCCCCTGTCCACATCACAGCGCCACTACGTGCAGGTGTTATTGCCCATCCATACAGGCATCCGTGTCCTGCCCAACTTCCAAGCACCCGGGCGCGCAGGCATCACCGGGCGAATCACCGTCACTCATACACGCAGCATGCCCAGCCCTGTCCTGCCATAGCCCCCGTCCACGCAGCGTCCGCGCCCTTCCCAAAGGGCTTGCATATGCATGTAGGTATTCCTGCCCTGCTCAATTGAGCTCAGGCAACACAGGAACATCACGGGGAGGGGTGCAATGTATCTAGCCCAGCTGCCCAGGCAGGACTGTGTGTCATCCAGCTAAAGCTTAACGTAACTAGCCCAGCCGGGGCGCTTTGCATTCATGCACCGTCCCACCCTGGCCCGGCCCGCGCTTGGAAGCATAGGCGTATGCGCATTTCTTTTGTAAGATTCGGCTTCCTTTCATGCACATAGACGGGCTTAGCACCATGACCTTCGACTCACCCCTATGCCTTTCGCTGCCCTGGTTCCCAAACACTTCAATATGCTAAGCGTGCCAGCAGATTTCGCCTTCTCACCCGACCGAAGGGAGGCTTGATGCAAAATCTGTAGATGCGAAATCTGCAGATTTCGAAGGCACGCCTTTAACGTTTCGCCCGCAGGGGACTGGTGTACGACAACAAAACCTGGGGCTCCAGAACCGCTCTGGAAGGGTTGCAGTGAAGGGGGCAGGACCAACCGCGATGCACGCTCTGACATTAGCTGTGAAAGCGTATGAAAGAAGCTATGTAAATAAAGGCTTCTTCGCGTCGGGCGACGTTCAGACTTCTGGGCCGAGCTTCGGACGTGAAAATGTCAAAGCTAAGGCTGCAATGTGCTAGCTTATAGTTACTGGTTATGGACAAAAGCGGTGTAAGCGAAAAGCGTCCGCCGAAAGCGCAAAGGGGCGACGAATTCTAGTTGCCCTCTTAGAGACGTTCTGTGAGCGCGTGAAGCGCTTAGATGCATTAAGCTAGAATTTAACAATTTGAGTGTGTTTCCTTGAAGAGGACGGCGATGGCCTGTCACTTGAGTAGTGCATGCGTTCTGCATTTCCACGCCAAACTCATACTCGCCGCCTGCAATGCTTGCTAACGCGTTGCTAGGATGATAGACAAGCAGAGCGGTGAGCCCAGGTATGCACGTGCGGGCTGCACATGCGCCAAGCAGCTTCACGAACGTGAAGGTCAGCACGTGCCCTGGCAAAACCCGCGAGCGGCAGTGCAAGTAGTGTCACGCCCGATCCCAGCGTCCCCACCTTGCCCAGCAAACATCCATGTCTTCCCTGGCCTGCCAAGTACTGACGCTCATGTGGGCATGCGCCAGCCTGCCCAACCAATACACACAGCATTCCCGCCCTGCCCAAAGCCCATAATAACAGGCATGCAGGCATCCATGCTGTGCGCGCGCGTCCCCATGCGTGCTTGAGCTGCCATGTGCAGGCATCATCGCCCCCCTTTGACCTGCTGCATCCCGCCATCACTGTTTTACAAGCCAACCGCATGTTGGTGGCTTGAGGTGACGTACGCAGACGTACGCGAGCAAGGAGCACAGATGCCGCATGCCACAGGCAGCTCCATGAACGGGCAGGTCAGCAGGTGGCCTAGCAAGCGGGGGCCCTGACTCTCTCTCCCAGTACGGCTTCCAAACGCGCAGGCATTCTGCCCACACCACAGCGCCCATGAGTGCTGCCTCCCCCTCTCTACCCAACCTCTGGCGTGCATGCATCTCCACCCTGCTGAAGTACGTACACCCGTGCATGCAGCGTTCCCCGCTGTGCCTGACAGCTGGCGCCCATACATACCCCCATGCACGCAGGCAATCAGTGCACCTACCCTGCCGGGGTCGGGAAGGGGTGCAGTGTATCTCGGGATGGTGCATGCTACGGCAGCGCACACACCACCACCCTGTTCACTGGCCCCCGTGCATGCAACGCATTCACCCTGCATCCAGGCATCCCTGCTGAGTGCATCCCCGCCTGTGCCCAAACTGTGAAAGCGCTCATGGATGCAGGCATCACAGTGGTTTCCGAAGACTCGAGCCCATGCGTGC